TCTTTCTTTCTTTCTTTCTTTCTTTCTTTCTTTCTTTCTTTCTTTCTTTCTTTCAGTTTTATTTATTTAAATAAGCTCTATACCCAATGTGGGGCTCAAGAGTCACATGCTCCTCTGACTAAGCCAGCCAGGTGCCCCGACTTCATTTCTTTCAAGTACAGGCAAGTCTAGGGGCTTGGGCTGTATCTTAAGTGCAGGAAATAGCCCGGAAGCCTTCCTGCTGCTTTCAGTATGAAGGGGGTGATGCAAGCAAGGGAGGCAAGCTAGGAGGCTGTTGAAGTGTTTGCGATGAGAAAGCAGTGGTAAAGCCAAGGGAATGGGCTTTAGTCGTAGTTGCTGTTAGCCTCCCCTAATCCATTTCAGATAAACTTACGTTCAGATAGCGTGCTTGCTGTGCAAATTCAGTTGCAGACTTTCCAGCTCCCCTTCCAGCCATATTTTCATATTTCTAGCCATATTTCCCCATCTTTGAGTGAGGAATGAGTCCTCGAGTAAGATGGTGGAAATAAAGAGACAAGTTCAGAAACAGATTTGTTATATGCTTAGTTAATGGTGTAAATACAAGAACTGTGTATTGCTTATAGACTTACTTATTACTGTAATTATTTATGTTTTTTAGAACTATATTGAGTGTGCTGAAAAATTATACAATGCCAAAGTGGAACGAGTTGACTTTACAAATGATGTAGAAGATACCAGATATAAAATTAATAAATGGATTGAAAATGAGACACATGGTGAGTGCAACCCTATTTTTCTAAAAGATTTGTTAGTGATATGTGAATCCTGAGAATGGTCAACTTTAGAGCTGGAAGTCTTTTGTAAGATGTGAAAGGAAACAGTTCCTCCTAATCCAATGTAATGATTGCTGTTATTGAAAATTGCTCGTGCACTGTTGGTGGGAAGCAAATTGGTGCAGCCACTGTGGAAAACAGCATGGAGGTTCTTCAAAAAGTTAAAAACAGAATTATCAATATGACCCAGTAATTCCACTCCTGGGTATTTACCCAAAGAAAATAAAAACACTAATTTGAAAAGATATATGCACGCCTGTGGTTACTGCAGCATTATTAACAGTAGCCAAGTTATGGAAGCAGCCCATGTGCCCATCAGGAGATTAATAAAGAATATGGGGTATATGTATCTATATCTAGATAGAGAGATAAATAGATAGATAGATAGATAAATAGATAGATAAGAGTATTACTAAGCTATAAAAAAGAATGAGATCTTACCATTTGCACCAATGTGGGTGGACCTAGCGGGTATTATGCTAACTGAAATAAGTGAGACAGAGAAAGACAAATATCATGATTTCACTCATATGTTGAATTTAAAAAACAAAACAAATAAAGAAAAAAGATACAAACAAACGACCAGACTTTTAAATACAGAGAACAAACTAATGGTTGCCAGAGGGGAGGCAGGTGTGAGTATGAAATAGGTGAAGGGAGTTAAGATACACTTATCTTGATGAGCACTGAGTAATGCGTAGACTTGTTGAATCATTATATTGTATACCTGAAAGGAATAAAACACTGTATGTTAGTTATACTTCAATTAAAAAAAAAATAGAATGGTGGTTACCAAGGGCTGGGGGTTGGTGCTTAAAGGGGAGTTGTTCGGTGCATTTAGAGTTTCAGTTTTGTGAGATATGTGATATACAACAAAATGTTTACCATTAATGCCACTAACACGTTAGATGATAAATTTTATGTTTTTTCACTCACATTAAAAAATGGGGAGCAAAAATTCCTCACAATCCTAGCACCTCAACAAATCACTGGCTTCATTTTTCCATGTTCTATTCTAGTGCTTGGCCTTATGCATAAGGAATAAGTTGACCTAGTTATGTTCATAGTTTATGTTCACATCTGTGTCTAGATTTTCTTCTTCACATTCTATCTCTGACATTTTTACAGGCGACTTTGCAATTTTTCATAACCATTTAATTGCATAGACCGAGTATGAAATAAAGAATGTAAACATAACCCTTAATAATTTTTCTACTTCTTATATGGTGGAGTGATAATATTTGAGACATACTGGTTAAATAAAATATATTATTAAATAAAAAAGAAAGAAAATTGCTTTAGTATTTGTCCACAATGTGGTTTTGAGTAATTTTAATAATGGGAATGCTTTATACTTTTCAGAAATCTTATCTATTATTACATTATCTCATTGGATTGAGAAAGAATCCTGTGAGACAAATACTGATTTTATTATGACCATTTCATAAATTAGTGACAAGCTGAATTAATATACTCAGTTATCCTCATTATCTTACACCTGGTTAGTGAACAAAGACTAAAAGTGGTTTATAGGATATTATTTTCAATGACCACAGCATTATATTTCATTCTAATGATTAATCCAATATCTTTCTGTTTTCTTCTTGGGTTGAAGAATCGCATTAAAATTATGACATCCTACTGTGAAATGTATTTTTATATGATTGCTTCTCCTACAAGATGCGTAGTTTATCTTTCATTTTAAAATTCTCTTCATTTATCAAAATAATATATGTGTCAAAGGTAGTATCTTCCCGAAAAAGTACATTGCTTAATTGGTTGGTAAGTGTCTTGCACAGCTAAAAACTGAATTCCCGCAAATGTTCTGGTTTAGTTCAAAACAAATAAGGAAATGTATTCACTGCTATTTTGCTAATCAGTTGATTCCAAACCGAGTCATTTCTTTACCAAAGGCTGACCTTGGTTTATACCCTGAAAAACACACATGTATTTGCTGAGTCTGGTTCTGTTTCAAAAATATGAGACATGACTTGCATTCTTCAATGCAAACATACTATAATTAGCCCTGGGAATAAGAGTGTGGTGTCTCAATTTGCTTTTTGTTCATTGGTCATTACCTCAGTAGAGGGTTACTTTGACCGTTAGCCATCACATGTTTCAAATATACTACTCTCAAACCAAGAAAAAATATGCAATTGCTTTTTCTTTCTTTTAAGTTTATTTCTTTATTTTTGAGAGAGAGAGAGGGAGACAGAGGATCTGAAGTGTCTCTGTGCTGGCAGCAGAGAGCCTGATGCGAGCTCAAACTCATGAACCATAAGACCATGACCTGAGCTGAAGTCAGAAGCTTAACTGACTGGGCCACCCAGGCGCCCCTGCAATTGCTTTTTCTAATAATTGAGTGGGACTCTATTTAGTGTTTAGTGTTTAAGGGTATCAGATTGCTAATACGTTTTTCCATCTGGACCAATGATTAATTTCTCTTCCTTTTTTATTCAAATCTATCTGAAAATTATTTTCATTTTGGTAAGCATTGGTTCTTAATGCTGAATACTTCAGAATGCTGCCAACATTTCACCAAACTCACCCAAGTCTTGTTGCCCCTTGCCCATCCTCCGCACACTACCAGAGCACCCCTTTTGGAAGGTAAATCTGACCCATCATGACCTTGTCCTTTCTTATCTTCCAATGGATCCTCAGCAATCATTTTTCATTGCCTTCAGGATAATCCAAAATTACTGCCAGACATTCAAGGCTCTTCATTAGTTGGCCCCTCCCTCTAATCTTTCCAACCCTCCTTTCCCTAATGCATCAGAATGTGCTAGGCTTTCCCCAAACACACCGTGCTTTTCCAGACTTTCATGTCTTCGAATAAAGAGCTTCTGCTATACGCAATTTCTCTCCACCTTGCGCCTCACCCTCAGCTCAAGCAGAGGGCTGAGCCAGAGAGGGCAGCCCTTGTCTGTGCTCCCACAGCACACTGAGCACATGACTATGGTACCAGTGTGGGCAGCTCCCTGAACTGGACTGTGAGTCCAATGTTGGCAAAGACTATGTCTTTCATAGTTGTGATTCAAGCATCAAGAATAGGGTTGACGTCGAGCAAAAATCTTGTTATGTGGAATGAAGGATGTAATTAGCCCTCTCAACCGAATGGAGTTCAATTATATCTGGAATGCTGTGGCCTCGTCCAGGTGGTAAAGGTAGTTTGGGCTTACCAGCAAGGAGGGGCTTCGGGAATCCTCTTTCTGGGTTGGAATCCTGTTGCCGTAACTTTCTTGTTGTGTGGTGAAAAAATTACTTACTCTCTCTGTGCTCCAGCATCTTCAACAGGAAATGGAAACAATCATAGTGCCTACCCCACAGAGACTTTTGTGAGGATTAAACCAAATCTTGCACACAAAGTATTTAGAGAGTACTGGACAGAGTGATTGATTGCTCATAGGCTATGACAAATATCATTGTTATTATTCTAATTATGTCATAAGGAAGAATATCATGTTCATCTTGTCTTTTTAGACAAATTACATTAAAACTTAACATTTTTTTTCCTCCACTTATTTTTCAAAAGGCAAAATCAAGAACATCTTTCAAGAAGGTAGCATAAGTTCTTCTGCTGTCATGGTGCTGGTGAACGCTGTGTACTTCAAGGGCAAGTGGGAGTCAGCCTTCTCCAAGAACGAAACCCTAAATTGCCGTTTCAGATCTCCCAAGGTATGGAAATCTATTCAATTAAGATTCTTTTGCCAAGAGTATTCCTACACTTGATCTTAGCCAAAAGGCCGAGAAGCGATTGCCAATAGTATTCCTTTGCAGAAATTACGATATTTGCATAGACAAAGGATGGACTCATCATTTCTTTGCTCCTTTCTTCCACTGCTCACCAATGCTTTGTGGTGGATTGCTTATAAAACACACTTTCTATTCTCCTGATAATGCAGGTTATGGATCACAATTGGAGGTATCCCAGAAATTGATATTTCTTAAGATACATTCAAAATTGAGGAAGGTAATAAAGTATGAATTCATTTTTAAGGTATTCTAGTTGGATGCCTGTAAGAAGAAAATGGGACAAAAGTGTGTCCCGTATTTTTCTTCTGATTCTAACTGTGGGTGGGGTGTACGGTTCTAGTCATTTAATACCAATGATTTTTCCCGAGTCAAAGTGAGGGTGCATTTGTTTCCTTTTACAGAGGAAGAAGTTATGTTTAGTAACGTCATGCATTTCCAAGTGTCAGTCCTAATCAACTTTTGTAAAATATATATTCTTGTGTTTTTTGTTTGTTTTTTGTTTTTACCAATTTGTACACAATAATCTTAGAGTATAGTAGAAGCATCAAGGCTTTGGAGTCGGAAGTACTGTGTTGGGGTCCCTGCCTCGTGTCTGCGTTGTCCTAGGCAAGTCAGCTTAACCACCGTAGACCTTCCTACCCTCACAAATAAGGCGATTCCGCTAACTGACCTGTAAAGTTTCTTTCAATCATTCGGCCTTTTATGTTCATGCAGAGAAGGCTAAACTTGATAAATATTGCTATGAATACTGAAGATGTTTTCTTTCATTGGAGGTAAAATACAGACCAGTACTATCAAAATCACACAATTTTAGATGAGCTCTTATTAAAAAATCTATAGCATTCATTTTAAATTATAATTCTATTTAATAATTATTCATTACTTATTATATAGACATTTTCAGGTAAAACACTAGGTGCAAGGTCATGTACCAAGTTCTAGGTATATCAAGTCACATCATCTCTACAATGGTCCTATGCAGTAGAGACTGTTTTTACCCGCATTATATGGATGAGGAAATGGAAGCACAGAGAGGTGCTAGCCCAAAGCTATACATCTGGGAGTTTTAAACCCAGGCAGTTAATCCCAAAGCTGGGAACCAATGCAAAGCAATCACTATTGGCAACAGGTCAGGAAGAATCTACTGAATCGACTGGACAAAGACTAAAGACTATTCTTATTTTATTGTGAAATAAGGTGGGCTTATAAAATGTTTTTTGTGACTTGACTTTCAGTGTCCTGGGAAAGCAATCACCATGATGCACCAAGAACGGAAGTTCAATTTGTCTGTCATTAGGGACCCGCCCATGCAGGTTGTTGAGCTCAAGTATCATGGCGGCATAAGCATGTACATAATGCTGCCCGAGAATGACCTGTCCCAAGTAAGTTACTACTGCCACTTTCACTACTGGGGACTTAGAAGATTTTTAAGATATTATTGATTGTGTTTTTATGCATCCACTTGATGATTTCAGGCTGTAAGAATCAGAGATTTGCCTGCTGATTGCTTTATTTGACAAATATTTAAGGAGTACCTACTCTGTGCCTGACACCATTATAGATAGATGCTGAGATTGACTTACTTCAGTTTAGCCTAAATTTTAGTTGAATAGCTATGAAATTGGCACCCTCTCAAACCTCAGCGTTGGAGGGAAAAGGGTATGAGTTTAGGTCTTTGCACTTGACTATCAAAACAGTCTTGCATGTGTTATTAGAACTTTGATAGACTGACCATTTTAGGCAGGAATGATACAGTGGGGTTTTGGGCCTTTGAGCATCAAAATGTACGGTCTCACCGAGTTTCTGTGTCTCTGCGAAAAGCATAGGTTAGGGACTGCCCTGTGACTGATGTAGCCAGGGCAACAGACCAGCACAGTGCAAGGGACAAAAAGAGGCATCCCAGGGGCCCCACAAGGCCACATGGCATCACCATGTCTCAGATCCTGATTTTCCTCCTGTCCTTCTTTCTCATTTCCTCCCTGTGAATTTGGCCTCCTAAGCCTGTGACCTGAAATCCCAGAAGCCTGGATCTTTGGTTGCTCTCTGTACTTCCAATCAGAAGGAATAATAGACGCCATTCAGTGAGCACCTACTGTGTGCCGGGTGTGTACTCTGAGCCTCATTCATGTTGTCTTATTTGGCCCACACAGCAACCATGTGGGATAGGGAAAGGAGGCTCATGGGATTTGGTCAGTTTGTCTGATAAATACCTATGTACAAATGTGTGTGTGTGTATGCACATATATCAACTACCCTAAAAAGTTACATCTAAAGTTTAAAATATTTTTGTGTTTTGATTCGTAAAATAATGAACGTTGCTTGTAAAACAACTGGGAAGTAAAAAGAATATGAAGAAATGCTCCTCCTACCCAGAGGCATTATTTTCCATTCCATCTTTTTCCTATGATTTAGAAACTTTGGACTTTAAAACTTGGGACATGTAATTTCTACAGGGACAAAACCACCCAATCATTTTAATGATTTTCATTTAGCTTCATTTTAATTACCTTTTTGGACACGGACAGCAAGAAGAATGTCATAAAGTTGCTATTATTAAATCTAAAGTTGACAATATAAAATATTGGTATTCCTATGAAATCAATAATTCACTCGATAATCTTTATCAACATTTTAGCACACATCAATTATTTTAACTTCAAATAATCTACAGTAATAGAGAAAGTAGCCCATATAAAACAAACAGTAGATAACTCGAAAGATAGATTTGTTCTTACACTTATTGTCTGAGTTTTTCTTTTCTGTCATGGATTTTCCTAATGATGTTTCAATCAGATTAATATAAATCCACTATATACCTACATTATCCTACATAATGGAATAATGAGGAAGTTGGCTTTACAGTGAGCCATCAAATGAGGAAAAAATTCTAAGTCAGAATGAGACGTTATTACCGACTAACCATGAACTGGATAATTTACACACATAAAATTTAAATTAGGCTAAATTTGATTATATAAGTTTAGGTTCTTGATAAGGATAGCTGTGAAAGGCTGTTTAGGATTCTACTGAGCCTGAATTTGAGAACAAATGTCTATATATAAGATTTGTAATCAGTGTGCGTGTGACTAGTCTCTGATCAGTTCTCAGTATTCAGGAGTTGGTGAATTCCACTCATGAATCATCTGGGGCAACAGTGGTGCTGGAGAGAGAGCCGTGGGCTCCTAGCTGTGTAGCCGAAGTGCCCACCTATGCAATTCAGCACATTTCCTTACAATGTCTTGAACTTCAGTTGTCAAGTTGGGTAGGAGAGTGGGTTTGGATCCAAGCCGCCCAGATGGTGTAGGTGATGGTGCTGGAAGGTAGTGATCACCTAAACCCTTGAAGCTAGAGCTCTGGGCTCCTTGCCTTGGGCCACCTGGGGTCCATTGGTTCTTCCCACAAGCTGTGCAAACATTACCATTTTCTATGTCTTTAGTGATGGGAAATGGTCGAGAAATGCTGACTTAAATGACCACTGACTTCCTTTCTCCCTCTGATGATCTCTGATACCCTAATTCCTTCACTTGCCCGTTGTTCCACTTTGGCTATATTTGTGGCTATATTTGTTTGTATGGGGGCAGAGAACAGAAATGCCTGGAAATACAAGTCACACCTTGTCGCAGCAGAGCAAATTAAACAAGTGATTTAATAGAGTGCTTGAACTGTTGGTGTTAATAGTTTCCCATTTCAGACTCTCCAAAATCCATTCACATACTTACATGCAAATATCTAGGAGAGGATAATTATGGAAAACTGTCTTTGTAGTTGATGATGTTTTATCTCTCTCTTAAGCATATGGTTCTTTTTTTTTTGAGAGAGAGAGTGTGTGGGAGAGCAGGGGAGGGGCAGAGAGAGGGGGAGAGCACTAGCAGGCGAGAGGGGCAGAGGGAGAGAGAGAGAGAGAGAAAGAGAGAGAGAATGAATATCAAGCAGGTTCCATGCTCAGTGCAGAGCCTGATGTCGGGCTCGATCCCACAACCCTGGGATCATGACCTGAGTCAAAATCAAGATTCCCATGCTCAGCCAGCTGGACCACCCAGTTGTGCCTTAAGCATATGATTCTAAATTGCCTTTTCAACATTCCTACAGATTGAAAACAAGCTGACCTTTCGGAATCTAATGCAGTGGACCGATCCGAGAAAAATGAGCTCTCAGTATGTCGAGGTGTTTCTCCCTCGGTTCAAGATAGAGAAGAATTATGAAATCAAGCATCATTTAAGAGCCCTGGGGCTGAAGGACATCTTTGATGAATCCAGAGCTGATCTCTCCGGTGTAGCTGCTGGAGGTCGTCTGTATGTGTCCAAAATGATGCACAAGTCATACATAGAGGTTGCTGAGGAGGGCACGGAGGCGGCCACCGCCACAGGGAATAACATAGTAGAAAAGCAGCTCCCTGAGTCCAGGGTGTTCAGAGCTGATCACCCGTTCCTCTTTGTCATCAGGAAGGATGACATCATCTTGTTTAGTGGCAAAGTCTCTTGCCCTTGAAAATCCTGTTGGTTTCTATTACAGTAGTTCCCTGCAACATCAAGGAACCACCACAAGGGAATAGATTTGAGTGTGACGGAAGCACGTGGTGTTTCCCTTGCATTTGCTTCCTTCTAATATTGGTCGGACAGATGATTTGGGTGTCTTGACCCTTCGCAGACACCTGGTTGCTTGTCCTGATCCCGCTTTAGCCTTTCTACTACCGTGTGCCTCGCCCATTTCTAAGTTCACTCTCTTTTTACCCCAACTCGTTCCCGCCATTCTCCCCTGGAGCCCCTTGCACCCAGAGCTGGGCCCCGTCTGGGAACTGTGGAGTTGCTCTGTTGGCAGTGACGATGCAGAAGCGGCCCTCAGATCTTGTCTGAAACTCTGTACTGGATATGGATATCCCAGCTACTCCGGTTTCATGGTTAACGAGCTCGGAAGGAAGCCCGGCTACTGAACCTGGGTGTGAGGGATAACCTTTCCTTGCCGACCTAAGAAGACAGTAGAGCTTACTTTCACACATCTGATTTGAAATCAGTGTCTAATTTAGATGCTAAAAACTATAGATTTGGGATTAGGGGACAACGAAAATATTTCGTCAATAACTTCAAGTTGATGTCTTTTGGTCTTTCCTTGATACAGACTTTTTTTTCCTTGATAGAGACTTAATATGTACATAGTTTTTCAAATATTAAATATCTTTTCACTACTGCCATTTGTTATTTACAGTAGATATCTCATGTGCTGTGTAGTTTACAAGTTTTTCCTCTTATTTATCAGAATAAATAAATACAACAGAGCTGGACAGTGTGATTGTTCTCCTCTAACCAATGGTGAGACTACCAGCACTTTCTTTATCTGGTAGGCCAAGCAAACAAGCAACAGGCGGAAAGAATGCTTTTTAAGTATAAATCTGATTTGGTTCAATGTTGCTAATTTATTACACATGAAAGTTACTTTTACAGACACATAGGCTGATAAGGTAATTTTAAATACTAAGATTGAAGTTCATTAGGAAAAGGATTTGCATATGTGAATATTTATAATAAGACATAAGTAACTTTACAAAACAGATCAAAAATAAGTTGAGAATGAGTAGACCAAGCTGAACTCATTTAGAATTTTATAAACAGGAACAGCCTATTGACTTATGTTTTTATCACAGAAGACTTTCACCTGAATAGAAACTAAATAAATCTGGATAGTCTATAGCATGGTATTGTGGTGCATAAAACTAGCCCTGGCAGCTATTTGATTTTCAACCATTATTTTGGAGTCCGTGAATACAGCACGAATGAGTTAATGTGACATGATTTGACAGATGTAGAAAAACCTCTGACCGAATAATCACTAACCTGCCACACCTGAAATAACTATTGTGTCTTTAAGAGATATTTATGTTGGGGGGTGGGGGGATTGAAATGAACTGGTATGCATCGGTATCTTTTTTTTTCAGGAACTAATTTTTCTGATTAACCCCATTCCCACCTATTGCCATTCAAAAATGACATACTTCTAGATTCTGCTCTTAGATGATAAAGATACAGGATGAGGGTACAGGAGCATGAGTGGTGACGGTAGCCATAATGTTCAGAAGCATGGACGCTCCTCTCTGCTGATAGCATTTTCTGTGGGACTTGCAGCTACTGAGGTTTGAAGCAAGCATCAGGAAGACTTTGGTCAGGTCTATAAGGAGATAGTTTGGAAAAACTCATAGAAGCTTGCCCTGAAATTTCGGTTGGTTGGTCCTGCCCATATGGCCACCTCACGGTTAAGGACCCTAGCTCACGCAGAGAAGGTCTACCTTGTCTAGTCATGATCTAGGCTTAGTTTGGTGTTACTTTCACAAGTCTGTAACTGTTGTCAGTACACCCCTGGCTCAGTGACAGCAAAGGTAACAGCTGTTGAATTTCATGTTAGCATTGAACTTCATGCTCCTTAAGGCAGGAGCCATGCCTGATTTGTTTCTATAACCAACACCTCTAGAACAATGCTTAATATATAACAGTCACTCATTGTGTCTTTAAAATAAGTGTAGTTGTGAGTCCCAAGGGTGTGATTTGAGACGGAAATGAGACCTCAGGGACCACTTTGGTATAAGATCAAGTCATTGATCTTGTAATTGATTTCTTTTTATACAAAGACTACTTTTTATCTTTTAGGGTCATATTTTTTTTTCAATCTGCTTATTTATCCATAAGCATTTCCAAATCTCTTCTTCACTTACTCAAAATTCTCTCTCTGTATGATCCCATCTAAACACGTGGCTTCTGTAATAGCTGATGACACCTATCTCTATGTGTAACTTCACCCAAATTCACTACTGCCTCCTGAAACGTCCACCTGAATTTCCTAGAGTAAAACTAAACATGTCTCAGCTAAAACACATCACCATCCTCCACATGATCTTCTTGGGGACCCACCTTTAGTTAAGGACAAATGTTTTCTAAAACTCCAAGCTCAAAACATCAAGATTATCTTCGTGTATTCCTTCTTTTTCACACTGGAACTGTTCGCTGGTCTTACTACTAAAACGTCTCTTGAATTTATCTCTTTTTCTTTCTTCCCATGAGCACTGCTTGAGTTTAGGCAAATTCAAACTACTTCTGTAGTTTGTTGCTTATCTTTTTTTCCTGCTTCTTGTGACTTGTATTTCCCTTTCACTCTTAAGCCCAAAGTTGTGAAGATTACTGTTTCCTTCTTAAGAACAAAATTTTAATGTTTATTTATTTTTGAGAGAGAGAGAGAGAGAGAGAGAGAGAGAGAGAGAGAGAGAGAGAATGAACGGGGGAGGGGCAGAGAGACAGGGAGTCACAGAATCCAAAGCAGGCTCCAGACTCTGACCTGTCAGCACAGAGCCCAATGTGGGGCTCAGACCTGAGCCAAAGTTGGACCCTTAACTGACTGAGCCACCCAGGTGCCCCAGAGATTTCTGTTTTCATCCGTAGATGCCAGTTATCTTCCTGAAACACAGATGGGAAGACTGTCTTATAAAAGACTTGATTCCTCTTCACCACCTAAAGACAGAGTCTAAACTCCTGCATGGCACTGCAGGCCTTCCCCAATTTTCCTTATCCTCCTTTTTACCTCGTTTAGCCACTTAGCCACTCTCCGACAAGACTCTGAACTCAACACACCTTGGACTAATTGAAAACCAAATCCAATATTTCATGTTCAACCTGTCCCTTCTGAGTGACATACTCTCCCCATCTTCGCTTAATATCCATCCAGTTGTTCAAACATCTGATCACGTTCATATTCCCTGGGAAGATCTCTATTTGAGTAGACTCACAAAACACATCGTGCCTCCTTTTACGAGAGCTACGCTCACATTTCTTGCTATGTTCCGTTAGTGGGTATGTGTGCGCGCACGTGGCTAGGTTATAAGCTCTTTAAAGGCAGGGTATGGCATATGGTTGGTATGGTGAGTGTCCCTTCCTCATCTCAAATAGTAGGTCCTCTAAAGGACCCAAGAAAAGACAAAACTCAGAGAGTGTGGTATAGATGGAGGCTCTGGCCAGATAGTGGGAACCCTTGCCAGCACCTTGTCAGTGCCTCCTTGAGGGTGTGCTGCGCAAGTCAGGTGCCAAAGCCAATCTAAAGGCAAGCTCTCAAAGGTGGGTGAGAGCACTGTTGGATCTTCTATGTTTGCAGGAACGGGAAGAAGCTGTTTTCCACCCATTCTTCAATGAAGAGGAAGAGCAACATTGTCGTCGTCCTTACCCACCGTCACTGCTTCATCATTTCCAAAATGTTTTCGTGGACCCCATCTCGATTCTGCTTACAGTCCTGTAAGGTGGAACCTATTATGATTCTTAATGTTATTTATTTTTATTTCATCAGGAAAATTGGAGTCAGAGAAGCTGGGCAATTGCCTGACATCACGTGTGCTCTTTCCATCGTAACACACTGCCTCGGACGTCCTTCCGAATCTCACTTGCACCTTGGTTCTGCTCAGGATCCTCCCATCTCGTGCTCCAACACCTCACATGGCTCACTCCTTCTTTGGCATGCCTACCGACTGACACCACGTGTCTCGGATGACCTCAGGCTTTCCTAAAACACCGCACCTCTTATAAATTTGGGCAAATCCAAAATTACATGACTCTGTGTTCTTACATTTGGGCCATTTACACTTTTATGATTTAGGTGATTAACTTGACTATCATTTGTCTTACTAATACACTTTTTGAGAGTCTATATAGGAATTATAATGATATTACAAACTTCCAATCGTAAACCCTCCTAAGTATAAACTCTCTGAGACAAGAGACAATTATCTTCTGCTTGCTTTGTAATTTCTCTTCTGCACGTTCTACACCCCTTCACTGACTGACAGGTTCTAGTCATCAACAGAGAAAGGCAGCATATGTGTCTGTAATCTGGTTATCATTTGACACTAACATTTTATTTCTGTCCTGACCGACAAACCTAGAATTTGTAAAGAGCCATGACTAGAACAGCCTTCATAAGCTTAATCTTCCCTCTAGATGCCAGCAGCACCTTGAAGAAGAGAAAGCCACAGTGAGTTTACCTCCAAGTGGTAAATGTCGGCTGTTAGAACTTAATTGTGTTATGAGACATTTCTCTGATATTCTTCGTACTTGTTTCTTGCCTGTGGCACGGTGAACCAAAAACAAGAATGCCATTGTACTTGAAACTTGAAAGTCATTTAGTGAAACTAAGGTGACTAATCTTTTCTAAATATTAAGTTTTATGATTGGCTTGTAATTTGAACGACGAAAAATAATGTGCTTGGGTATACTCAGTGCGTTGGGAGGGAGAGAAAAGGGAGCAGAATGGAAAGAGAGTGTGGAGGGAAGAGAAGACAGACAAATACTTTCTAGATATTTTTAAAACATTTCATTTTTAAATGTAAAATTTCTCTCCCAAGTGTGTCTCTTCAGAAAGGACTTGTTGACGCTGCTATGAGTTTGAGTCTTAGGCCGGAGGGAACTATCACAATTTTTGCAAACCGTAGCAATGTGATGAGTTCTGTGAATGAGGCAGAGATGCTGTGGAAGCGTGCGGCAGGGGCTTCTCAACCAGCCTTTGAAGAACAGGAGGGCTTCCTGGAGGAAGGAACCTTGTAGCTCAAACCAGAAGGAGGAGTAGGTAAAGGGACAAGGAGGAGAGGGGAGGAGGGGTCCAGTAGAGGTGCCAGCATGTTCAAGGCCCACCAGCGAAAGACCCTGGGCTCCTCTGATCGCTGCAGGGGTGACCGCGGAATGTGAGGGCAGAGGGCTGTGAAAAGTAGACTGGTAGGAGCTGGAGCAGGGCCCCGGGCACTACTATGTGGGGTTTGCATTATTCTAAGTTTGGTGCAAAGGCAGCAAAGGCTTCAAGGAGGAGAGCGACGGCTTTCAAGTCTGCATTTTGAATGATTGTGTTTGCTGCGTGGACGCTGATATGGTGCTACAAGACTGTTAGCAGGGAGAAGTGGGAAGTGGTCCAGCTGGGAGGCAATGATGGTCTGGACCAGAATGCAGGTCTTAAGGGTAGTCAGGTGACAGGTGTCGTACGTAGCCTTTGGTTGAATGAATGTGGGGTCAGGACTTCGTGACTGAGCGAATTTGGGGGCAAAAGATAAGGACTTCTCAAGATTCAATTTAGCACTCTTTAAATGACGGTGACATCAGGCGGCCAGAGCACAGAGGGTGGACACCAGAGATGGGGAAGGCTGAAGCACAGGGGCACCAGTGTGAGGCCACTAGGAGCTTTGATTGTCATGCTCCTTTATTTTTTAAGTAAATGCTCCCTTTAAGAATCAGATTAAAATATCAAAACAAGCACATATAT